ATATTATTCTCATGCTTATTAAAGTGTTATCGCAATCAAAAATGATACAAACAACTTTACCACCGTCCAACGATGCCATGTACAATGTATTTTCTCAATTATTAACTTCTCACAATGGATTACAAAGTCCAAATAATTCAGTGGAACTGTCGTAGCATAACAAATAAGAAATCAGACTTATTTTATTTGATTAATAAATATAATCCTTTTATAATAGCTCTACAAGAGACTTGGTTAAAGCCAGGATATCCTTTTAGGATTTCAGGCTTTACAAGTCTCCGTGATGATAGAGCTGACGGATATGGCGGTGTTGCCATATTGGTCAAAAACTCCCTTCTTTTTTCTTCTTTTTCGCTTCCTGTATATAGCGGCATTAATGCAGCTGCTATAATTATAAATGGTATCCGTTTTGTTACTTTATATATTCCTGATCCTACATGCCAAATATATTCACAACTAGAACAATTATTTTCAATTTTACCTAAACCTTTTCTCGTAATGGGCGATTTTAATGCTCAGCACCAATCGTGGGGCAGTTCTACTTCTAATTTTTATGGTGGAAAACTCCTGACGATAATTGACACTTACAACTTATGTATTATTAACTCAGATGTACCGACACGTAGAACTGCACCGAATGAAGGGTTTAGTGCTCCTGATATTTCAATATGTTCTTCTGATTTAGCTTCTTCACTGTCGTGGTATCCTCATTCCTCTACCTTCGGAAGCGATCACTTTCCCCTCATTCTTTCTTTTCCAATTTCCATTCCCTCAAGTCGAAAGAGTGGTCCTCGACTTAAATATAATTTATCAAATGTAGACTGGAATATTTACAAACAATATTTAGATAATAAAATATCGGAGTTACCTATTGTTTATCATGGAAATGAACATCAATGTTGTAATGACTTGATAATTAATATGAAGGAGGTTGCTGATTTATTATTTCCTGTTAAAAATAGTGCTTCAGGGAAAATTCCCTCCCCACCTTGGTGGGACAAAGATTGTACGGAAGCAATTAAAAATCGTAAAGAGGCTGAAAAAAATTATAATAATTACATGACATCAGAAAATTTTGAAATTTACACCGCAGTTTCACGTTCTACTCAAAAACTACTGAAAAAAAGAAATTGGAAGGTTGGAGAAGATTTTGTTCTTCTATCTGTCCAGAAGTTAATTCATCAGTCGTTTGGAATAATATTAAAAGATTCAGATCTGCCTTTAGTGATCATACATCACGTTCTGCACTCGATTTAACTTTAGCGAATAAATTTTTAGATCGCCTTGCTCCTAGTTATGTGCCGGAATGCCTTTACAATATTTCTCTATCCGTCTCTGACGAATTATCCGAACTTGAGTCTCCTTTTACTCTTGTAGAACTTAAAGGTGTTCTAGCTTGTATTAAAGACTCTGCACCGGGAGAAGACGGTATACCGTATTCCTTTTTTAAAAATGCTAGCGATGCGACATTAATTTACTTTTTAAATATAATTAATTCCATAATTATTTCGGGAAATATACCTACTTCATGGAAGTCTCAGATTATTATACCATTTCTAAAGCCTCATAAACCACCTTCTGAACCATCTTCATACCGTCCTGTTGCACTTTCCTCTGTCTTACTAAAGCTAGCTGAACATTTAGTGAAGAACCGTCTAGAATGGTTTTTAGAAAGTAATAACTTACTATCCCCGAACCAGTTTGGTTTTAGGAAAGGTAAGAGCACCTTAGATAATGTGAGCATTCTTATTTCAGATATTCATATAGCTTTCTCACAAAATTTGTCAATCCTCTCAGCCTTTTTAGATATAAATTCTGCCTATGATAATGTAATAATTTCTATTTTAAAAACTAAATTACAAGCTCTAAATGTACCGGTAATGCTTTCTAATTTCATTATTAATATTTTATCAGAAAGAACAATATATATGAATTTAGATGAAGATACCAAATTATCTAGAACAGTATGGAAAGGCCTTCCACAAGGATCTGTTCTCAGTCCAATCTTATTTAACATATACACATACGATCTAGAATTATTCCTTGATAAATCCGTCAAAATTTTACAATATGCTGATGATCTTTTATTATATTTTATTGCGAAGTCCATAGAATCTGCTTCTGCCAAATTATCTGATTCATTAGATTTGTTAAAAACGTGGTTAGATGCAAATGGTCTTAATCTTTCTGTAACCAAGAGTAGTGTAGTTTTGTTTTCAAGAATGAGATCACCGCAACAAATTAAGGTGCTTTATGATAACTCATACATTCCTATAAAGACTGAAATTAAATTTTTAGGTATCGTGCTAGATAATAAATTAACAGGTCTGTCCCACTGTAATTATATTTCTACGAAATGTGAGCGTAACCTCAACATTCTTAGGTGCCTTGCTGGAGTTTGGTGGGGAGCACATCCCGTTTCACTAAAACTTGCTTATAATGGTCTTATAAGGAGTGTCATTGATTATGGAACTTTTTTGTTAGCTCCAGGAAGTTCATTTGCTTTTAAGAAATTGGATTTAATTCAATCAAAGGCCTTGAGGATTATCTCTGGAGCAATGAAATCAAGTCCAATCAATGCTTTACAGCTCGAAGTCGGTGATCCACCTTTGGTTTTAAGAAGGCAATATCTATCTGATCGCTTCTTTTTTCGTTGTTTACAATTATCTGATCATCCGCTTATTCAAAAGTTATCTCAACTACATATCTTTATTTCGTCTTCATCTTATTGGAAACATAAAAAACCTCCATGTTTAATACAAAGTTATGAAAAATATAAATCCATAGAATCTCCCACTTTTACATCGTCCTGTTTTCCCATTTATAAATGCTCATATCAATCTTTAGTTTTATCTCCTAATATTAAATATGATTTTGGGTTATCAAAAAATGATTCAGAATTGAATGCCAAATTTATGTTTATAACTGACATTGAATGGAATGAATGGCACTACATCTTTACTGATGCATCAAAACCAGACAATAGCGGTTGTGTAGGTGTGGGTGTGTTTCATTCACAATTTAATATCGTTCAAAAAATTAAACTTCCACCGGAGTCTTCAGTTTTTACCGGGGAATGTTATGGTATTTTAAAAGCTGTAGAATATATACTTTTAATGAAATTACATAAGGCAATAGTTTTCACTGACTCTATGAGCTCTTTGCAAGCTCTAGCCAAATATCCGTTTAAATCAAAACCAGTTTATCCCATTATTTGTGACATAAGACAAAGTCTTTATCTTTGCATGTTGAGAGGTTATTCCGTTTCTTTTGCCTGGTTACCAGGACACAGTGGTATTAGCGGCAATGACAAAGCTGACCTTATTGCAAGAGAGGCTGTAACTTGTGGTGATATGTATCCGTATCATAATTACTGTAGTGACCTAGCTTGTCTCCCAAAAATATATTTAAGGTATGCCTGGAAGGAATATTGGGAAAAAACAAGTACAATAAAAGGAAGATTTTATCGTCTTATACAACCCGATATTCCTTTCAAACCATGGTTTTGTAAATTAAAGCTTGGAAAGACCACAACAACTATTATAACTCGTATGCGTCTAGGTCACGTATGCACACCTTCTCATTTATACAAGCTTGGTATTGTACAAAGTTCGTCGTGTAATTGCGGTGCTGAAGTGGCGGACTTGAATCATATATTCTTCTCATGTTCTAAATTTGACCACACCTCCCTTTTTAATCATCTCCGATCCATCCGTGTTCCATTCCCAACTTCTATTCTTACTCTACTTTCTTCCAATGATTCTATTATCTATAAAATACTATCTTCATATATATATGATAACAATATTAAGATTTAGTTATATTACATGAATATATTTATAGTTGCATCAATTGCTTTTCCTATATATTTATAAGTATATTCTCATATGTACAAGTATATCCTTCATATCCTATAAATATCCTAGACCTAATCCTTATCCTTTCTAAATTCGTTTGTGTTAGGTATTTTTATTACTATTATCGTTTCCCCGTTTTGTTCTTGGCAAAATACCCTAATATCGGGGTGAACGCCACAAAAAAGAAAAAAAAAAAAAAAAAAAACTAAACTGTCAAAAAAAGCGCGGGAAACGTTTAAAAAAGCGGGAGTGTTTTTTGATCTTCTTTAAATTAATTTTATTTTTATTTATATAAGGATTAGTCTTTTTTATATATTGTGTATTAGATTGTATATTTAATTGTATATTTTGTAGTAATAGTGTTTGTTGCTGTAAATATTGGTAAGTAAATTACCTATATTAACATTATGGATCCACCTATAGACCCTGGGGGGACAACCCCCAGGTGTCTGCAAATATAACTATTCCATTCAATAATAGTTTTGATATATTGGGTGAATCTAGTATGGACACAGATGGTTCTAGCGTTGCAAGTTCTAAACGTAAGCGAGTACGTGGTGAACGTCGCATTTGCAAACATTGCAATAAAAAACGAAGGAGGCACACCAAGGGTCTTGAATCTAAAATTAAAGATAGTGATTGTCAATGTATTGAAGATGAGAATCAAACTCAAGTATCAATACCAGTTGTAAACAATACCGAGTCTGTTAAACCTGCTTCTCCACCCAGTACTTTAAGCAGAACTTTGTACAATGCCGAGGATATAGCACCTTATGTCGTTCATGTACAAAAAAATGAAACACATCCTAATGATAACACTACATTACATCCTATTGCATTTGGTCGCTTTTTACACACTAATAAGATAAATAATATAGTGAATGGTAGCCTCAAAAGAATAGGAAGAAACCGTTTATCGCTTTCTTTCTCAAATTTTGAAAATGCAAATGCATTTTTAAATAATAGTCACTTAGAAACACATAATTTTAAGGCATTTATACCTTCTTTCCATGTAACCCGTATGGGAATTGTGAGGGGTATTCCTAAAGATTGGACAGAAGAGGAAGTAATCCAAAATATATCAGTACCGATAGGTTGTGGGAAAATTCTAAAAACCAGAAGAATAAAGAAAAAGACAATTAATGAAGGACAACCAAGTTTTATTAATACTGAAACCATTGTTATTACTTTTGATGGACAAATATTGCCAAAAAGAGTATTTATGTTTTACACATCATTAACTGTAGATTTGTACATTTACCCTACTATCCAATGCTATAACTGCTGTAGGTTCGGACATGTCAAGATGCAGTGTCGTTCAAATCCTCGGTGTTATAAATGCAGGCAAAATCATACAGGTGATAAATGTGAAGTAGATGAGGAAAATGTTTCTTGTATCTTGTGTAATGGTTCTCATTCAACAATTAGTAAAAAATGTCCTGAATATGCACGTCAGAAAGTCATTAAAGAAACAATGGCCCATAGTTGTGTTTCTTATGCTGAAGCATCAAAATTTCATCCTCCAACTTCTAAACTATATTCAGATGTATTAACATCATCATCTCCTTCCAATAAATCTCATTTTCAATCTTCTTTCCTTAAAGAGAAATCATCATTACCACATATACAATCATCATATAAAAAAACAGTTACACTTAAACCACGCTCTCCTCAAAAAATACAACAAGGATATGATCGTTCTGCCCATGAAGCCATAGTTAAGGAATATAATATTCCTGCTCCCTCTAATGGTTGTGCATTATCATCAAATAATATTGACAATAATCAATCCATCATTGATATTATTCTCATGCTTATTAAAGTGTTATCGAACAACTTTACCACCGTCCAACGATGCCATGTACAATGTATTTTCTCAATTATTAACTTCTCACAATGGATTACAAAGTCCAAATAATTCAGTGGAACTGTCGTAGCATAACAAATAAGAAATCAGACTTATTTTATTTGATTAATAAATATAATCCTTTTATAATAGCTCTACAAGAGACTTGGTTAAAGCCAGGATATCCTTTTAGGATTTCAGGCTTTACAAGTCTCCGTGGAAAAGCGCGGGAAACGTTTAAAAAAGCGGGAGTGTTTTTTGATCTTCTTTAAATTAATTTTATTTTTATTTATATAAGGATTAGTCTTTTTTATATATTGTGTATTAGATTGTATATTTAATTGTATATTTTGTAGTAATAGTGTTTGTTGCTGTAAATATTGGTAAGTAAATTACCTATATTAACATTATGGATCCACCTATAGACCCTGGGGGGACAACCCCCCAGGTGTCTGCAAATATAACTATTCCATTCAATAATAGTTTTGATATATTGGGTGAATCTAGTATGGACACAGATGGTTCTAGCGTTGCAAGTTCTAAACGTAAGCGAGTACGTGGTGAACGTCGCATTTGCAAACATTGCAATAAAAAACGAAGGAGGCACACCAAGGGTCTTGAATCTAAAATTAAAGATAGTGATTGTCAATGTATTGAAGATGAGAATCAAACTCAAGTATCAATACCAGTTGTAAACAATACCGAGTCTGTTAAACCTGCTTCTCCACCCAGTACTTTAAGCAGAACTTTGTACAATGCCGAGGATATAGCACCTTATGTCGTTCATGTACAAAAAAATGAAACACATCCTAATGATAACACTACATTACATCCTATTGCATTTGGTCGCTTTTTACACACTAATAAGATAAATAATATAGTGAATGGTAGCCTCAAAAGAATAGGAAGAAACCGTTTATCGCTTTCTTTCTCAAATTTTGAAAATGCAAATGCATTTTTAAATAATAGTCACTTAGAAACACATAATTTTAAGGCATTTATACCTTCTTTCCATGTAACCCGTATGGGAATTGTGAGGGGTATTCCTAAAGATTGGACAGAAGAGGAAGTAATCCAAAATATATCAGTACCGATAGGTTGTGGGAAAATTCTAAAAACCAGAAGAATAAAGAAAAAGACAATTAATGAAGGACAACCAAGTTTTATTAATACTGAAACCATTGTTATTACTTTTGATGGACAAATATTGCCAAAAAGAGTATTTATGTTTTACACATCATTAACTGTAGATTTGTACATTTACCCTACTATCCAATGCTATAACTGCTGTAGGTTCGGACATGTCAAGATGCAGTGTCGTTCAAATCCTCGGTGTTATAAATGCAGGCAAAATCATACAGGTGATAAATGTGAAGTAGATGAGGAAAATGTTTCTTGTATCTTGTGTAATGGTTCTCATTCAGCAATTAGTAAAAAATGTCCTGAATATGCACGTCAGAAAGCCATTAAAGAAACAATGGCCCATAGTTGTGTTTCTTATGCTGAAGCATCAAAATTTCATCCTCCAACTTCTAAACTATATTCAGATGTATTAACATCATCATCTCCTTCCAATAAATCTCATTTTCAATCTTCTTTCCTTAAAGAGAAATCATCATTACCACATATACAATCATCATATAAAAAAACAGTTACACTTAAACCACGCTCTCCTCAAAAAATACAACAAGGATATGATCGTTCTGCCCATGAAGCCATAGTTAAGGAATATAATATTCCTGCTCCCTCTAATGGTTGTGCATTATCATCAAATAATATTGACAATAATCAATCCATCATTGATATTATTCTCATGCTTATTAAAGTGTTATCGCAATCAAAAATGATACAAACAACTTTACCACCGTCCAACGATGCCATGTACAATGTATTTTCTCAATTATTAACTTCTCACAATGGATTACAAAGTCCAAATAATTCAGTGGAACTGTCGTAGCATAACAAATAAGAAATCAGACTTATTTTATTTGATTAATAAATATAATCCTTTTATAATAGCTCTACAAGAGACTTGGTTAAAGCCAGGATATCCTTTTAGGATTTCAGGCTTTACAAGTCTCCGTGATGATAGAGCTGACGGATATGGCGGTGTTGCCATATTGGTCAAAAACTCCCTTCTTTTTTCTTCTTTTTCGCTTCCTGTATATAGCGGCATTAATGCAGCTGCTATAATTATAAATGGTATCTGTTTTGTTACTTTATATATTCCTGATCCTACATGCCAAATATATTCACAACTAGAACAATTATTTTCAATTTTACCTAAACCTTTTCTCGTAATGGGCGATTTTAATGCTCAGCACCAATCGTGGGGCAGTTCTACTTCTAATTTTTATGGTGGAAAACTCCTGACGATAATTGACACTTACAACTTATGTATTATTAACTCAGATGTACCGACACGTAGAACTGCACCGAATGAAGGGTTTAGTGCTCCTGATATTTCAATATGTTCTTCTGATTTAGCTTCTTCACTGTCGTGGTATCCTCATTCCTCTACCTTCGGAAGCGATCACTTTCCCCTCATTCTTTCTTTTCCAATTTCCATTCCCTCAAGTCGAAAGAGTGGTCCTCGACTTAAATATAATTTATCAAATGTAGACTGGAATATTTACAAACAATATTTAGATAATAAAATATCGGAGTTACCTATTGTTTATCATGGAAATGAACATCAATGTTGTAATGACTTGATAATTAATATGAAGGAGGTTGCTGATTTATTATTTCCTGTTAAAAATAGTGCTTCAGGGAAAATTCCCTCCCCACCTTGGTGGGACAAAGATTGTACGGAAGCAATTAAAAATCGTAAAGAGGCTGAAAAAAATTATAATAATTACATGACATCAGAAAATTTTGAAATTTACACCGCAGTTTCACGTTCTACTCGAAAACTACTGAAAAAAAAGAAATTGGAAGGTTGGAGAAGATTTTGTTCTTCTATCTGTCCAGAAGTTAATTCATCAGTCGTTTGGAATAATATTAAAAGATTCAGATCTGCCTTTAGTGATCATACATCACGTTCTGCACTCGATTTAACTTTAGCGAATAAATTTTTAGATCGCCTTGCTCCTAGTTATGTGCCGGAATGCCTTTACAATATTTCTCTATCCGTCTCTGACGAATTATCCGAACTTGAGTCTCCTTTTACTCTTGTAGAACTTAAAGGTGTTCTAGCTTGTATTAAAGACTCTGCACCGGGAGAAGACGGTATACCGTATTCCTTTTTTAAAAATGCTAGCGATGCGACATTAATTTACTTTTTAAATATAATTAATTCCATAATTATTTCGGGAAATATACCTACTTCATGGAAGTCTCAGATTATTATACCATTTCTAAAGCCTCATAAACCACCTTCTGAACCATCTTCATACCGTCCTGTTGCACTTTCCTCTGTCTTACTAAAGCTAGCTGAACATTTAGTGAAGAACCGTCTAGAATGGTTTTTAGAAAGTAATAACTTACTATCCCCGAACCAGTTTGGTTTTAGGAAAGGTAAGAGCACCTTAGATAATGTGAGCATTCTTATTTCAGATATTCATATAGCTTTCTCACAAAATTTGTCAATCCTCTCAGCCTTTTTAGATATAAATTCTGCCTATGATAATGTAATAATTTCTATTTTAAAAACTAAATTACAAGCTTTAAATGTACCGGTAATGCTTTCTAATTTCATTATTAATATTTTATCAGAAAGAACAATACATATGGATCTAGATGAAGATACCAAATTATCTAGAACAGTATGGAAAGGCCTTCCACAAGGATCTGTTCTCAGTCCAATTTTATTCAACATATACACATACGATCTAGAATCATTCCTTGATAAATCCGTCAAAATTTTACAATATGCTGATGATCTCTTATTATATTTTATTGCGAAGTCCATAGAATCTGCTTCTGCCAAATTATCTGATTCATTAGATTTGTTAAAAACGTGGTTAGATGCAAATGGTCTTAATCTTTCTGTAACCAAGAGTAGTGTAGTTTTGTTTTCAAGAATGAGATCACCGCAACAAATTAAGGTGCTTTATGATAACTCATACATTCCTATAAAGACTGAAATTAAATTTTTAGGTATCGTGCTAGATAATAAATTAACAGGTCTGTCCCACTGTAATTATATTTCCACGAAATGTGAGCGTAACCTCAACATTCTTAGGTGCCTTGCTGGAGTTTGGTGGGGAGCACATCCCGTTTCACTAAAACTTGCTTATAATGGTCTTATAAGGAGTGTCATTGATTATGGAACTTTTTTGTTAGCTCCAGGAAGTTCATTTGCTTTTAAGAAATTGGATTTAATTCAATCAAAGGCCTTGAGGATTATCTCTGGAGCAATGAAATCAAGTCCAATCAATGCTTTACAGCTCGAAGTCGGTGATCCACCTTTGGTTTTAAGAAGGCAATATTTATCTGATCGCTTCTTTTTTCGTTGTTTACAATTATCTGATCATCCGCTTATTCAAAAGTTATCTCAACTATATATCTTTATTTCGTCTTCATCTTATTGGAAACATAAAAAACCTCCATGTTTAATACAAAGTTATGAAAAATATAAATCCATAGAATCTCCCACTTTTACATCGTCCTGTTTTCCCATTTATAAATGCTCATATCAATCTTTAGTTTTATCTCCTAATATTAAATATGATTTTGGGTTATCAAAAAATGATTCAGAATTGAATGCCAAATTTATGTTTATAACTGACATTGAATGGAATGAATGGCACTACATCTTTACTGATGCATCAAAACCAGACAATAGCGGTTGTGTAGGTGTGGGTGTGTTTCATTCACAATTTAATATCGTTCAAAAAATTAAACTTCCACCGGAATCTTCAGTTTTTACCGGGGAATGTTATGGTATTTTAAAAGCTGTAGAATATATACTTTTAATGAAATTACATAAGGCAATAGTTTTCACTGACTCTATGAGCTCTTTGCAAGCTCTAGCCAAATATCCGTTTAAATCAAAACCAGTTTATCCCATTATTTGTGACATAAGACAAAGTCTTTATCTTTGCATGTTGAGAGGGTATTCCGTTTCTTTTGCCTGGTTACCAGGACACAGTGGTATTAGCGGCAATGACAAAGCTGACCTTATTGCAAGAGAGGCTGTAACTTGTGGTGATATGTATCCGTATCATAATTACTGTAGTGACCTAGCTTGTCTCCCAAAAATATATTTA